TCGGGGGGGGGGCGCTATGCCATGCTGCAGCAGGGATGGAGGGGCTTGGTCTGGGCTCAGGGCTGCTTTCTTTTTGTCCTTGTTCCATGAAAGCTGCTGGAGCACAGGTAAGCCCTTGCTCCGTAGGCAGAAGGGAGGCAGGGTGGGGGCCCCGGTTCCTCTCTGCCTTCACGCTCTCACCTGTGAAATGGGGAAATGCTTGCTGACCCCACTTGGCAAGGGTGGGGCTGGCACCATGAGACACAGAGTGTGGGCGCAGAGCTGCGTGAAGTCTGCGGGCTTGTCAAAGAAATCATGCTGCAGCCCCGTGTCCCGAGCCTCTCTCTGGGAAATGCCAAAACAGTCTCAGAGGAGGAAAAGCATCCCTCAGTTTGCTATGGTGGCTTAAGGGGTGTGTCTTCTTGAGGAAAACAAGAGCAGAGGAGAGAAGTCTTGTTTCTCAGGGCTTGGGGCTGATAGAGGCAGCAGGGATTTCCAGTGACCGTTTGCTCCATCTGGGCTGTGGCTGGGGGTCTTCAGTGTGGTCCTGCAGAGGACCACCCCCTGCTTGGGGGCTGCACAGTGCTTTCTGGGACATGGGGACATGCCAGCGCAGGCTCAGCCTGTGAGCAGATGGAGGTGACGGCGGTGCTCCCTCCTCTGCCTGCTTCTGTACAGCTGTGGACTCCCACAGCATCACATGGACACAGTGTCTGCAGCCCTGGCGGGCATCTCCAGGCTTGTGTTGGCTGTGATGAATGACCCCCCTTGGCTGGACACAGCCAGCACCCTTTCCTGAGGGCTCTGCCAAAGCAGAGTGGATTTAATTCATATTTTGGGGAGCCTCAGGGCCTTTCAGCCACATGGCCCACAGCTGGCCATCCCTGGGTCCCTGGGTAACCCCAGCTGCCCAGAGGTCTTCACTGGCTGGAGGCTGGTGGCTTGGGCCAGCAGGACGCAGGCAGCAAACCAAGCACAGCGGGTGCAGGCTGCTCCGCTCCCACAAGGTTCCTGCACCGGAAGGCTGGCAGCCTGCCCCGGGATCTCACTGGGGAGCCCGTTTGTGGAGGCTCCTCTCTCTGCATGGCTGTGCTCCTAGCCAGCACCGTCCACCTTGCTGATGACATAGGCTGGTGTGTCGCCTGACGGAGTCCGCTGGCCCGAGCAATGTGCCTTCCCACCATGCCTCGCTCGGGACAGGGCAACTGACCACTAAAGGAAGAGCATCCCCTGTCCCGCAGCGCATGGCCCTGACCCCTCGTGACAGAGGCGAGGGGTGACCATGCCTCCATTCCCGCCCCTGCCCAGGGCTGCTGCAGCAAGCCACTGGGCTGGGCTGGGCGGGGGTCCTTCCCCGGCTGGAGGGACTGCGGTGGCTGGCAGAGCCCCAGACTGCCTTGGTCACGCCGTGGGGGCTGGTGGCTTTTGGGTAGGCTGCCACTCGTGTTGTCCTGCCCGCTGACCATCTGGCCTTGCCTTGCAGCCTCCACAGGGTCTGTGACCCAGGTGTCTTCCGTCAGCACCGATTCCGCTGGCTCGTCCTACTCCATCAGCGGGATCCTGGGAATCGCCTCCCCCGGCACTGAGAGCAACAAGCGCAAGCGGGATGAAGGTAGTGGGAGCTGTTTTCTGGCAGGGGGGCGTGTGCTGATGCATGGCTGGGATGGGTGGGGCACTGGGGCAGATGCTGCATGCATGCGATGTGATGGAGCTGCGGATGCCCCCCATCACTGTCAGCTGTGGTGGGGTTTGCTCCCATTTTGGCAGGCCTTTGCCAAGGTCACAGCCCACCGGGGGACCTTTGGCATGACCTGGTGGCCAGAGGCAGGATGTCTTCGAAGAGCAGGGGCTTGTCTGGGTGTTTCAGAAAGCACTGGGGGTGTGTCACAGTTTTTAACCAGACCCTTCTTCTGACCAGGGAACGTTTCCCTCCTGACAGTGAGAAGGGGAAGAGTCACCATTATGTTGACTCTTGTCATGTTGAAATGTAAATGTATATGTTGAAATATAACATGTCAGAGAGGTGTCCCCATCCACAAAGAGACAGAAAATTAACTGCAGAGCTGTCTGCTATGCTGTGTCTCTGCAGGTCCCCCCAGTGCTGGGGGCTTTTGTGGGCCCAGGGCACGGAAACGAGCACAGTCTGGTTGGGGTTGGGCATTGCCAGTGCTCCTCAGATCTGCTGCAGGGTTTATGGTCCTGTTTCATTCTGTGTCCTGGGCACTTTCCTAATGAAAACACTGCTTTGGAGAGAAGGACGTGGGGGATAGAGTGGAAAGGAAAAGGAGAAATTCTGCATCGGTGTCTTACAAAAGTGCCTTTAATCTAGAGCATCCCTTTCATTTAGTAAGAGTTTACAGAGAGGAGTTGAGGCCAAGACTGCGGACGCGCATGTGGTAGCAGAGGGGACACCAGAGCCTTAGCTGTGATGCCGTGGTTGTGGCTGCGGAGGGCACCTGGAGGAGGGGTGGCTGCCTGCCCCGCAGCAGAACTGGGGACTGAGGGTCCCCATTTGCTCTTGGTGGGGGTGCTGCCATCCTACCCGGCAGCAGGTCAGGCTCCTGCCCCTTGCCGTGGAGCACCCATTGTCCCTGGCTCCTGCGGTGCCCGTGCGGGTCCAGCGCTGCCCTGCAGCCAGCGCGGGTCTGCATCCCTGTGCCTCCCGCTGCCCCCGCTGCCCCTCACTGCCCAGCCCCACAGGGATGGAGGGAGGGGCTGGCGGGTGGACAGAAGCTGTAGTGGCATTAACTGAATCCCTGGGGAAAACCAGCTAAAATCGGGTGAGGAGCCTGATGCCCGAGCTGTGCAAACAGGGTCATGTGTCTGTGGATGCGCTGGTGGAAATGCCTGGTCGGGTCGCAGAGTAGTGCTTGGTTTACTGAAACTGGGGGAAAAACTGCAAGAGGTTTGTGGCGCCAATTTCAGCCACGTGGGGACTGGTCCGATGGTGGGAGTATAAAACTCCCTGTGTTCAGGTACTTGCTGAATATGCCATTGTTAGTTAACTCTGTGATCGTACATCTGATTTTTTTTTCCAAATCAAGGCCACAAGTGCATAGATAAATATATGCATTAAAGCAGGTAGGGTAGAAATTTTATATTTTATCAGCCAGGTCAGGAGAGAGGCCATCTGTGTTGAAACCACATGGCTCTGTCACAGCCCTGTCCTGAAGCACCGGTTCTTGGGTGCCTGTGATGAGGAAGAATCTCTGGTTTAAACCAGGGAAGACTCTGGCTAAGAAACAAGAAGCTCCTGAAATTATAGAGAAAAGAATTGTTTCCTTGGAAAGATCAGAAGCAGAGCTGAGAAATTCCCCAGCTTTTGCCAGTTCACATTTAGAAGAGAGCACGTGATTGCTAAAACAACCCCCATCGTTTTGGCAGGATGAGTCATGATTTTTGAGCTCATAAGCCGGACAGTAATGCTGTCCTCAGCAGACCATTTAAACTGCTTTTATAATAGTCTCAGGGCTGCAGATTTAGAAAGGCATAAACAGATACTTTAACGTCTTTGTGTGTTTGAGGGGATCCCTGGGAGCGTCCATAACCCCTCCCCATCCTGCTCAGCACAAGGTCCCTCTGCATGGGTGGACACGAGGTGTCCACGGAGGCGTCCCAAGGCTCCACGCTGCAGGTGATGAGGAGGTGGATCATGTATGCTAGCCTCTAACGTGAAGAAGAGAAGCATGTCATCTAATTATGGCCTGTATCATGATGCAGATGCACAAGGGGGCAGAGTTAACTTTACCATTTCCTGACTTCGGAGAGCTGGAGGGAGAATACCTCCGTATCGAGCCCCTCACATCATGTCTTTTGCCATGTCGCACCATTTCTTGGTAGCTGCTGCAAGGTGTGTGCCTGCTGCTGTACCCCCCTGTGTACATCTCCTGGAGCCACAGGCTGCGCAGCGCTGGTCCGGTGGTCCCGGCTCCCCTCAGCCTGGGAGTGAAGTGGGGTGGACTCGCCCCTCCGGCTTCCAGCTGCATCGAGCACTCAGTGTGATTCATTACCCGGTTTTGTTCTCCTCACTCTTGACATTTTTTTAGCAGATGTCACCAGTCTTTAACCCAGTGGGGAGCTTGCTGGGTAGCAACAGGGGCAAACCAAATCAGACAGTCTTTATTGGTTTATATAGCTGAAGGTGTCATTTTTTTCCCTGTTGTAATATGGACTTGGAGCAGATGTGCCTTCGTGGGGGATCAGTTGCTTTCACTTGTGGTTAAAGGACATGCTACTGGAGACTGACACAAGAAGCAGGCTGTTCTGTAACGAGGCAGAGAGATACAGTCAGCTGCCGCAGCCCCAAGCAGCAGAGGCTGCTGGGCAGCAATCTCGCTGCTTTGCTTGCAGATTGGCTCCTTCTAGTTCTGTGGCTGTGCATTCGCCTGGCCCCGCAGCTCAGGAAAAAAGCTGTAGAGGAGGAGATGGGTGGCAGGGATGTGCAGGATGATCTTGCTGAGCCGCCTTCTAGAGAACAGGGTGTGTTTTAGGGAAGCCAAGGGTGGGCAGCGAGACCCCAGAGTCAGAGCGGGTTGAATGCTCCATCCAGTGCTTACAGCTGGCGGCAGTGCAGGGACTGATTTCACTCCACTGCTTACAGCTAGTTGAGTGGCTGGTGATGGGCCCGGAATGGGACCACCGACAGGGTCTGCATTTTTGGGAAGTGCTGAGCATCCCCTGTCTGGAAGTCAAAGCTTTCTGAAGTGGGCTTAAATAATCCTTGGCAAGCTGTGAGAGGAGGGCAAAGGGAGCTGCCTCCCCAGGCAGGTGCACAGGAGTTTGGGCCAGAGGTGGTATGCAGGGCACGTTTTGGGGATGAGGGGGGGTTGCTGGGCTGTGAGTGCTCTGGAGGAGGATCTGAGGATCCTGTGAAAGGATGGGGGAGGAAGGGCCAAAGCAGGAAAGGCAAAGCCCGCCCCTCCTTCTCCCTTCATTCCTCTCTCCCCTAGCCCTGGTTTCCCTCCTGCACGCTGTAGAGCTCTGCAGGTAGGGGAGAGCCAGTAGAAGGACTTAAGCTGATAAGAGTGACACTCCTGGCATGTTCGTGCCATCACAGCTGAGAGGGATCCTGAGGCAGGCACATGTGCTAGAGGCATGGGATGTGGCTTTCACTTGGGATCTTCTCAAGAGCTGGTGCTGTCTCTGCAGGAGAGCGGTGTCTCTCTGTCAAAGCCAAGGCAAAGCCCAGGACTCCTGCTTCCACCACAAGACCTATGTGCTTTGTAAGAGGCAGGCTGTGTGTGCTGCCCCCTTATAACCGTGTTCATCTCCCCGGGGCGAGGGATCATGTGGGGGGCGATGCTGGCTGCCATAGGAACAAGCTCGGTGGAGAAGCACCGTCACACCTTGTGCAGAGCCCTCTGCTTGCCAGTCCAGGAGGGCTCGGGCTGCTCAGTCTGAGCACGTCATATCTGTACATGAGTTTTGCCTTTGGCACAGGCAGCTGCCATTTGTGCTCTGCTCCAGCCGGCAGTCGCTGTCAGGGCTGGCCTGGGAGCGAGGGGAAGAGGCTCGATTCCTGTACCCTCACAGGGAGCTGTGACTGGCTCTTACTGGATTTATGAACAGGAGTTGGAAGGATTATGTGAATCTCTGTTCTCACACCTCTTCCTTGCTTTAGGCAAAACGCAAACCATTTCCCTACATGGGAATGATGACCTTTGGAGCAAATGCTGTGTATTGTGTTGGGGAACTTCATGCCTAGTTGTGAGTCTTCTACCAACTACGTGATTCTGCAGCTGTAGACATTTACATGCTTTTAGTAGCTTAGTCCAGTCCAAGACCCACAGCCTGACTGATGCAGAAATATGCTCATGCCCTCACTTCGACACTGTGACATGCAGAAATCTCTGATACTGGCAGCTAATAGGGACAGTTTGCGAACATGAGCAGCAGCCAAGCCAGGGTGAAATCCGTTTGCATACAATAGTTGCTCCATAAGTCCAGGACGCCTGTTGTCTATGCTGCTAAACTAGAGACCGTTGGTGCACAGGCAGAAACTTCAGCTGGCCCATCCTGCTTTAGTTAGCACCACCCCGGCATGATTTTGGCCTGTGCAAGCTGGCGTCCTCTCAGCCAGTGTCTGCTAATGCAGCGGTTGGCACAGGGGGGGCATCACTCTGCTGCTCAGCTCAGGTGCAGCCGTGATGGTACAGAGGATAAGGGAGTTTCCTTGCAGGGACACAGGCTGTGCTAGACCAGTCGGCCTGTTTTCTTCCCTTGTGTAGATGCAGCTGTTTAGAGCAAAAGGCTACGTGCAGCAATGAGCACCTTAACTGCAAACTGTTGTCCCGGCTCTGGCCCCTGCCAGGAAACACTGTCAGAAGCAAATTGAGCAGGACACCCTCAACAAAGCACCGTGCAGGATGCAAGTGTCTGCTGCCCACCCACCCCTTCTTGCTGCAGAAGAGGTTTGGCAGATGTAAATACCTGCACCGAACAGCTGCACAGACCATATTTCAAATTCACTGGTATAGAGTCTTCTCAGCGGTGGAGGCATTTGGGGAATTGAAACCAGCATAGCAGGAGACCTTCACTCGTACGAGTTGTTTTGTTTCCATTCTCACCAACCATAACCCTACGTTGCTGTCAGCATCTGGTGTGATGATGTAG